CCTCCCCATCCCCCCATGCCCCATCCCCTCCTTTGCCCCATCCCCCATAACCCATTCCCCGATCCCTATCCCCCCACTGCCCTTCCCCCCACTCCTTGTCCCCCTGCTCCCCAACCGCATTGCCCCATTCCTCCCTGATGCTCCTTCCCCGTGTCTACAACCCCCAGGTTATTGGGGTCCCCCCAGCCGTGTCTATGACCTCTGTGTTATATGGGACCCCCTTTCTCTCTCCCCCGCCCGTGTCTCTGCAGGGCTCTGGCAGCCCGTGTTCCGCTGCGCCGCCCGCCACTCCCAGGAGGAGGTTGGGGAGGAGCAATGCGCCGATGCCCCGAAACCGCCCGCACCGGACGAAGCTTGCAACACCCAGCCCTGCCCGGCCTAGTGAGTGTCTGCGTCCCCCTGCCCCCGGCCTGGCCAGCGCCCTCCGCGGGGAGCCAAGGACACAGGGCCCTGGGGAGGAGGGCAGGTCCAGGGCTGTAGTGAGAGTGGGACCCCCGCCCCAGTCCCCCCCCCCCAGGCTGTAGGGAGTGCGGGTCCGTCCCCGCCCCCGGTTCTATAGTGAGTGCAGGTTCCCCAACCCCCGGGCTGTAGTGAGGGAGGGACCCCCCCCCAGGCTGTAGTGTGTGCGGGTTCCCTCCCCCCCAGGCTGTAGTGTGTGCGGGTTCCCTCCCCCCCAGGCTGTAGTGAGTGTGGGTCCCCCGCCCCAGGACTGTGGTTCATGCGGGCGCCCCCAGGTGCGCGTGCCCATGGCCGCAGGGCAGGGCCTGGAGCCCGGCACGCCCCAGTGGCCAGCCCGGACTGACCCTGACTCTCCCCGGCCGCAGCTGGGACGTGGGCGAGTGGTCGGCCTGTAGCAAGTCCTGCGGGCCGGGCACCCAGCACCGCCAGGTCCTGTGCCGTCAGACCTACGCCAACCGCAGCACCATGGTGCACCCGCAGCACTGCGGCCAGCTGGACAAGCCCAGCCCCACGCAGCCCTGCCAGCTCCGCGTCTGCAGCCACTGGGAGGTGCGCACCAACTGGAGTGCGGTAAGGACGGGCCAGGGCTCAGGGCTAGCACCGGGAGCTGAGCATGGGGGGGGGGGGGCGCTCCCTGGGCGGGGCTCGAAGGGGGGGGGGGCTGGAGGGGCCAAGGGTCTGATCTGGGGTGGGAGGGGGGCACATGGGGTAGATGGGCCCATGTGTCTGATCTGCGGTTCCTGGGGGGCGGTGCTGTAAAGGGAGGGATGCCTGGGGGGGGGGTGCCATGAAGGAGAACCCCTGGGGGGCAGGACTGGGGGGGGGGTTTCCTCCCATCCCATACAGGGCGAGGTTGTCGTAGTGACACCAGTCTCCATGGTGACACCATCTCCCGCCCCCCCTCCCCCCAGTGCTCGGTTCTGTGCGGCCTGGGCCACCGGACCCGCCACATCCGCTGCATCAGTAACCATGGCGACCTGCTGAGCGACGGCGAGTGCAACGGTAGCCACCGGCCCCCGGCCAATGAGGCCTGCGACATGGGGCCCTGCGTGCGCAGCTGGTTCCACAGCGACTGGAGCAACACGGTCGGTGATACCACCCCCGGCTCCACCGGTGCCCCTCAATCCCGACCCGCAGCCCCTGCTAGCCCAGCCCTGCCCCCCAGCTCCACCGCTGAACCACACTCCTGACCCACAGCCCCTGCTAGCCCAGCCCTGCCCCCCAGCTCCGCCGCTGACCCACACTCCTGACCCACAGCCCCTGCTAGCCCAGCCCTGCCCCCCAGCTCCGCCGCTGATCCACACTCCTGACCCACAGCCCCTGCTAGCCCAGACCTGGGCTCCTGGAGCAGGGACAGCCCAATCATGCCAGACTTTGCAGTGACCTTGCAAAGCTGAAGCCTAGGGCGCTACAATTTGGAGGGCGGCGACTGCGGCGGTATTTCGGTGGCGGGACCTTCCGCCGCCTCTGTGGGGGGCGGCATTTCGGGGCGGGACCTTCCGCCGCCTAGGGTGGCAGAAAAGCTGGCGGCGCTCCTTAGAACCCAGGTCTCTGTAGAAACAAGGCTGGTGCCATGGTGACCCTCCTCCCACCCCCCAGCCCGGCCCGGATAAGTTCAGGGGGTTCCCCGTAGGAGAAAAGCTCCCTGCCCCAGGGCTGGGGCTGCTGCACCCCTGGGGTCGGGAGCCAGGAGGGGCGAGGTGCAGACCCTGGACTGTGGCTCCCTGCCTGGAGAAGCCCGGCTGCGGCTTCCCTGCAATGCTGGGCAGTGCTGCCCTCTAGCCTCCCAAGGAGGGAGCACAGCTGGGAGGCTCTGCAGAAGGATGGATGAGAAACACACACACACACCCCGCCGCCCCTGCAGGTCCCAGGGAGCCATAGGGCCAGTGCGGGGTGGATCCCTGTGTAATGAGCCAGGGTGCGAGGGTCTGAGCCAGGCTAGATAGCCCCAGGCCACAGGAGTCCTGAGCGGGGAGGTGCCCGTCTCTCAGCCCCTGGCCAGGTTCCCTGATGGCGTCTCTCTCTCTCCCGTCGGCCCCAGTGCTCGGTGGAATGCGGGACGGGGATCCAGCGCCGCTCGGTGGTCTGTCTGTCCAGCTACGCCAACGGGCAGGTGGAGGAGACCTGTGCGGGCACCAAGCCTGCCGACATGCGGGCCTGCAACAGCGGGCCCTGCCACCGCACCGTGAAGTGGTACACGGGACCCTGGAGCCAGGTGAGGCTGGGTGGGAAAGCACCCTGCTCTCGGGGCCAGGCCTGGGGACGCTTTCTCTGCAGCCTCCTGGGATGGTTTGCACAGCACAGGATATGTGTGCTGCACACGCGTGTGCCAGGTAGAGCAATCAGTGCTCTGTGTGTGAGCACACACGGGCCCATACATAACAATCAGTGCTCTGTGTGTGCAAGGGTGTGCATAGGTGTTGATGTGTGTGTGTGCCCATGCGTAACCATCAGTGGTATGTGTGTGACACATACCCAGCGTACAGTCCAGCCTAGCGAGTAAGTGTGTCACCCCTGCCCTCTAACTTGGGTGCCCTTTACACTGTTTGGCGTCTATAGCCTCCAATCTGGACTGCTCCCAAACAGCCTCCAGCATGCAAGTCACTCCCAGCGACGGCTGCAGCCAGCACACACCTTGGCCCTCAGCAGCCTGGGTTATACTGCAGGGTGACCCCAACACTCCCCTCATCCTAGATTCCCCCCCCCCGGAAATGTACATCCTGTCCTGCCCAGCCCTCTGCTGAACAATACAAGCGAATAAAAAGTCCCTCCGTTTATTAATGAAGTGACATGCACACATCTCGTTCCCCCAAATGGAGTTTCCCAGACACTGCAATTCTGACACGCTGGATTAGATAAACCAATAAAACAAGTTTATTAACTGCCAGGAGAGAGATTTTAAGTGAGTACAAGTCATGAGGCATAACCGTCAGAAATGGCTACAAGACAAGTAAAGAGAAAACGCTGCTGGTGCCTAACTTAACAACCTCTGTTCAATTCGAGGCAAGGTTTACTCACCATGTGCTCTCTGCTGTCTTACTGAACAAGCTTCTTAGACCAGGACCCCTTCCCCAGTTCAGTGGCTGCTTCCTTTGTCCCTCTGGTGCAGAGAATCAATGGGCAGAGAGAGAGGAGGGGAGCCTTGGGGTGTCTATCCCCCTTTTTACAGCATCTCCCCTCCTCTTGGAAACCATTTCCAGCTGAGATTCTGGCGACAGAGAGTCTGTGTGGAAGGATGTTCCCTGCTGCTTTTCCTCACCTGTCTGGGGTTTCTGTGTCTACCCGTCCTGCTTGATGACTCTGTTTGCTGCTTAAATGCCAATTAAGCAGAGCCCACTTTCCTTTGTTTGAGACAGGCCTCTTTGCCGGGCTCCCTTTGGACCATATGTTAAGATCCCCTTGCAGCTGGAATCTTATCGCTTCACAATGTGGCCACCCGTATTTTATCAGGGCAGTATTGATCAGCAGACGGTGACTTTTCCGATGATACTTCCCAAGGCATAACTCGGTACCCAGATTGTTACAGTAGCGTGCAGGGTGTGGTCACGGGGACATTCTGTCAAGGGTTTTTAGCTACCCTGGTCTGTGTTTGCACTCGCCAACCCCAGTTCTGCCCTCCTGGAGGCCGAGGTCTCTCGCAGACCCCGCAGGGACACACCGCAGTTCCGGGAAGCACAGGGAGCAGAAGCCGCTTTGCCAGTGACCAGAGACAGAGAGAACAGCCTCTCCCACGACCAGCCAGCCTGGTCCTGCTAGGACATGCCCTAATGACGAGGGTGGGACTTGGGTGCTGGGTGGGTAGCGTGTGGGTTTTCCCTCAGTGCTGGGTGGGTGACATGCAGGAGCCCTGCTCTGAGCGCCCCCGGCGGACTGAGCCCCCTTCCCTTCCCTGCCCCCCTAGTGCTCGGCGGACTGTGGCACCGGCACCCAGCGGCGGGACGTGATCTGTGTCAGCAAGTTTGGCTCGGAGTTCAATGTGACGGAGGCATCGGAGTGCGCCCCCCTGGAGAAGCCGCCCTCCCTGCAGCCCTGCACCGGCAGTGCCTGTGACGCTCGCTGGTTCTCCACCTCCTGGAGCGCGGTGAGAACCTGCGTGCCCCCCAGACTGGCCAGGCCCCTCCCCGCGCAGACCTGAGCTCCTGGGTTCCCACGGAAGTGAACTCAGATCCTCCCACCCCCCAACCCAGGCCCCTGCCAGCTGAGCCTAGGGAGACTCCCCGTCAGATGGGAGCTGTATAGGGGCTATGACATGCAGCTGAACCATTCCGATCCCATCCACTAGAGGACAGTGCAGTACACGCCGTGTGGCCATGCCAATCTGATTGCCCATTTTTCCAGGCCCTGGAGGTTTGGCTTGGTATAATGAGTGGCTATTCATTTGCCAAATACTTGAGGCAGCATCTCCTGCAGGGCAGTTGGGGAAAAGCGGGGGCTCAGCTTCACTCACTGCGTGAGCTCTAGGCTGCCCCCAGCCTCAGGAAGATAAACACAGCATGGCATAAAATATCCCAGCATAAAACCTAGTGCTCTGGCCAAGTCGGGTTGTCCCTCCCACCCCCCCACCCCAACAGGACCCAGCTTCACTTTCTGTCTTAAACTGCTGCACCCTAACCATTTCAGCACTGAGTGATCCCTGTGCAGCGTTGCTGAGTGGCTGTTGCCAGCTGACATGCTCTGCACCAGAGGTGGCTGCATCTCTGTGCTGGGTGGGGAGGCCGATTCCCCTACACAAAATCTGCAGAGCACCGCAGGGGTCCTTCGGGTTCGGGGGGGATGTTGGTTACTCTCCTAACCCCCTCTCTGCCCCCCACAGTGTTCCAAGTCGTGTGTGGGGGGAGTCCAGGTGCGGGAGGTGCAGTGCCTGACCCAGAACAAAACCTTCAGCAATCTTTGCCCGTCGGACCTCAGGCCCATCAAGAAACGCTCCTGCAATACCCAGCCCTGCACCCCCGATCTCGGTAAGCGATGCCAACTGCCCCGTGGCCTGCTCAGCCACCCCCTTTTCCTCCCCACTTTACCAAGCAGACAGCAGTCAAAGGGAGCCCAGGGCAGGGGGGAGAGGCTAATAGGGGAGGCGGTGCAGACCCAGGGACCAGGACCTGGTGCTCGATGGGAAGTGATGCAGACTGATATGGAGGGGATGGACTCCCTGAGCGAGGGGCGCCCCTCCTAGGCTTCATGCCAGGGGGTATGAGCACAGGACTGGCAACTAGGACTCCTGGGTTCTATTCTCAGCGCAGGGAAGGTGTGCAGCAGGCTAGTGATGAGAGCCAGGACTCATGGGTTCTATTCTCAGCTCCGTCACGTTGCCTCTCTGTGCCTCAGTTTCCCCTTCTATACAGTGGATGATACTTCCTGCCCCGCCCCCCATCTTGGTAAAACCCCTTTGAGAGCGACGGCTGCTCCGGGCGGTGATGGTGGATTGGAAGCCCACCGGGGGTGTGGGACCAAACGGGCCTTCCCTGCAGTGTTATCCGCACCCCCGGCTCCTCACCGCTCCCCTCCTCTTTCCAGACGAGAACTGCAGGGACAAGTACCAAAACTGCCCCGTGGTGGTGCAGGCCCGGCTCTGCGTCTATTCGTACTACAAGCTGGTGTGCTGCGCCTCCTGCACACGGGCCGTGGAGCGGAGCAAGGACATGCAGAGCCGGTAGCGGCGCCAGCCGGCCAGAGACGGGGGCTGGGCTCTCACCCGCTCATTGTGGGGAGGACTCGGACGGACCTTGGCTGTGAAACCAATGCCCGGCCCCCACGGACGCTCCTGGGACCCAGCTACTCGTCCCCCCCGAGGTGACCCAGCAGCATGTGGGGAGGGGACAACCAGACTCTGCCCGCAGGGACGAGGAATGAGCGGCCGGGACGGCTTTGAACGAGGATCACGGCCAGGCCGCATGTGTGGCTCGTCCCAGGGCCTGTTGCTGGAGAGGCCAGTTCCTCTCGCTGATCTAGGGCCTGATCCTGGGTGGGGCTGAGTGCCAGGAGGTTGTCCCCGCTCACTCCAGCAGGGGCAGTCCTGCCCAGGATCAGGGCCCTTGTGTGTTACTGACCAATTCTGCGTACGGGCCCAGTGATGACGGGAAGGGGCGATGCTGACTGCTCCCTGGGACCGTGCTGCTGTATGACCCCGCCCCCGGCCCGGCTGCCCCCTCAACACATGGCCCCACAGCTGAGCCCGGAAAGCCTGCCACCCTTCCGGCCCCCCCAGCTACCGGAAGGAATTGGTGCTTCCCGCTGTTGAAACACGACTCCCGTCGCTTCCGCGGAGCCTGACCCTTGCACGACCTGTGTCCCACGGAGCTGCGAAGCCCAGCGCCGGCTGGCCTCCTCGTAACGGTGCGAAGAGACCCATGTGCTCTGCGTTCCACCCCAGAGCCTGGCCTGGGCCTCACGTCTGAGCCTCCGAGCCCCTTCTTTGGGCATAGAAGTGACACAACTTGGAGTTTGGGGGTGGCTTTCAGCCCAACTCCTGGCAGACAAAAGTCACCGCCCGGATTACCACCTGGCCAAGGACCGAACGGGCAGCAGGAACCTGAACTCCCCTCTGACCCCTAGGGGGCGCCCCTGCATTGGGGAGCTTGCCCTGCACACCCAGCCCAGCAGCTTCTACCGGTGCTGACGTGACCCCCGAATGCGGGTCAAGCTTGCGTGAGTCCCCTCCAGTTGTTTCCCCATCAACTTCCTTCCCTGTCTCTGCTTTGTCTGGGGAACATACAAAGCAAACCTCCTCCTCTGTAGAGCACACGCCCCCCAGGCCACAGGGATGTCTGCGTGGGCAGGCTGGCTGTTTTGGGGATAGCATCTCTCCGTCATGTCTTTCTGCTTCTCTTGAGACCAACAAGATTCTTGCTGTTAACTTCATGGGCTATAGATCAGCCCCTAGATTTCCCATCACTTTTAATGTCCACACGTAATCCCCACCTGCCTGCTCGAGCTATGCACAGGATTTGAACCTGTGATCTTCAGGAGAGAAAAAGAAAAACACATGCCGCTACCAGTTAAGCTAAAGCATCACCTCTTTTAGGTACTGTCTGTAGTAGACCTTTAACCTCTTGTGGACCAGCCACCAGCCAACAACATGGACACACCATGCTAGAGCGTTGAGGGCCACATTTGATGAGGCTGGGTAGCAAACCCCTGACAAATAAAGGCATTATATTAAAGACATTTTATAGAAAATTTTTACTGCAAAGCCATTCAGAGTGTCCAGATTATATAAATATATAACGATATATTATAAAGATTGTATCTGGGTTTTTTTGTGCAAATCTAATTTATTTTTTATTAAAGATGAGCTGATGTTTCCCTGTGGGCTTATATTTTTCCCCCCTTTTAAGAAATATGTTACTTTTGCCAATTTGAAGACCATTAAAAAAAAGTATTCAGTATTAGTTACCTGGTTGAGGGTTGGTTGGTGCAGAGGAATCTTGGGGGGCGGGATTGGGGCTGGGAAAGACTGTGTAAAGAATAATAATGTTTTATTATTGTATTACAATAGGATCTAGAGTCCTCAATTGAGTTTGGGGCCCTGTTGTGCCAGGCATTGCATAGGCTGAGTGAGAGACAGGCCCCTAAACAGTTACCATCTAAAGCCCTGAGTCAGCACAGCTCTTACTCACATGCTAGAATTTAAGGGCGTATTCGTGTGTGTTGCGGAATTGGGGCCTTCTCTGCGCTTTGCTTGGCTGGGACGGTGGCAGGAGCCTGGTGAATCTCTGTCCAACCTGGCTACAACATCATTGCAGACAACGATGATTGAGACACAACTGAATTTTGCGTCTGAAATGGCAACTCCCCAACATGAAGAAAAAGGAAGCAAAACTTAACAGCGACGGCGACTTCCTGAGCAATGGAGGAAACAAAACGTCCTCAGATGACTCACTCTCCACAACCCTCTAACCCTGACATACATCCCCAAATACACTGACCAGCTGTGCAAAAGGACTTCCGAAAAATTGAGGAACCTTCACCAGGAGCTCACATACTCCAGAAGGGACCCCGCCCTCAAACAAGAAATCAGCATATGGTCCCACACATGGGAAGGAAAAAATCAGGAATCCTACCTGGAGACCATGCGAGAAACCCAAAACAACTATCAACTCCCTCTAATGCCAGCCATCCAACACAAAACAAAAAGGTGGAACCAACTACAAGAACTCCACAACCCTCAGAACACCACCTCCGAGAGAAACCAGGGCACCAGGACCCGCATGGACACTACATGACACCCCAACATCATCCATCTATGAAGACCACCCGTATCCAGAGCTGAATTGTCTCTACTCTACAAGGGACTGAACTTTGCCCCACCACAAAATCTGGTATTGTACTAACGTGGAGAACTAGAAGAATTATTTCACTGACTTCACTTCAAAGAATTTCACAACAATAGCAACACCACCCACAACTATCACGTCCCCACGGACAGACATAAGGGAGAATCATATGACCCCACAATAGCCGAAATCACACCATGATCATTACACTGATTGCATCAGGAAAAAAATTGAACTCCTTAGTAAAACATCACATCCACCCCAATCTCTCTACCACCCAGAGAACAGCTACACAGTCCCTGAAAGCTAACCACCAGATAGGTATCAAACCAGCAGACAAAGGGGGCACCATTGTAGTACTCAACCGTGATGACTACATTAACAAGGCCAGCCGACAACCCTCCGACACCGCCTACTAGGAAGAGATCAGAGAAGACCCCCACCACAATTCAGACAGGAACTTAACGATATCATCAAATCCTTCCCCAAACAACTCTACAACCTTGTCCCCCTACAATTCTGCCTTCTGCCTGCTTCCCAAGATGCACAAGGGACCCCAGGCAGACCCATCATATCTAGCCATTGTGCTCCTACTGAAGGAATCTTGAGACCCATAGAAATCATCCTCAAACCATTCACTACACAAAGGACCAGTTTCCTCCAGGACACAACTGACTTCCTCCACAAACTCTGCAACATTAACAACCTCCCTCAGAACACCATCCTTGCCACTATGGAGATTACTTCCCTATACTCCAACGTCCCTCACAATGAAGGCAGAGCTGCCTGCCTCAAATATCCACAAGACAATGGACGACCCTCGGATATCCACGTTGCCAAACTCATCCATTTCATCCTCATCCATAACAATTTTACATTCAACAACAAACGCTTTGGCCAAACCATGGGAACAGCCATGGGTACTAGGATGGCTTCTCACTATTCCAGTTTCTTCATGGGCCATCCTGAAGAAGAATTTCTGGACAGATGCACCACAAAACCAATGATATACCTAAGATGGATCAATGATATTTTCATCCTCCGGTCAGATGGCTTAAACTCCCTCATAGATTTCCACCACAACTCCAGCAACCACCACCTGTCCATTAAACTCTCCCTGGAGCACTCGCACAGTACCATCCACTTCCTGGACACCACAATCAGCTTCATCACTGGAACCCTACAGCAAACCATACACAAGAAACCCAGGGATCACCACACCTATCTTCCCTCAAACATAGGCACCAACTGCTTGACCCCCCTCCCGCCCCAACTCCACCCCTGCCCCGCTCCAATTCCAACTCCTTCCCCAAAGTCCCCGCCCCAACTCTGCCCCCTCCCTGCCCCTATTGGACCCCTTCCCCAAATCCCCACCCCAGCCCCATCTCTTCCCCGAGCGCACCACGTTCCCCCTCCCTCCCAGCGCTTGCCGCCGCGAAATAGCTGTTTCGTGGCAGAGAAGTAGATTGCATCATAGAATAGGCCACCCAAATACCCTGAGAGAACCTGTTTCAGTATGGGCCTCACCTCCAACCACACATCCCTAATTGTCACCTACCACCTCACAGTGGATCTCATATGGGGTAGCATTAAACAGTTACAACTGATACTTGATGGGGTATCCTGAAAGGAAGCTTTCCCGAACCCCCTCTTCTGGCCTTCAAACAACCCTAACTGTCAGGGTGGTTAAACACTGGAACAAATTGCCTAGGGAGGTTGTGGAATCTCCATCTCTGGAGATATTTAAGAGTAGGTTAGATAAATGTCTATCAGGGATGGTCTAGACAGTATTTGGTCCTGCCATGCGGGCAGGGGACTGGACTCGATGACCTCTCGAGGTCCCTTCCAGTCCTAGAATCTATGAATCTATGAATAAACCCCGCAACCTTGCCAAGCTCATCAGCAGAAGCAAGCGCCCCACAAACCCACTCAAAGTGGCACCAGACCCTGCCAGAACAACAGATGCAAAACCTGCTGACCCGTCTCCACTGCTACAATGACCAACACCTCCCACAACACTCCTTTCAGAATCCGTGGGGCCTACACACGTCTATCACAACATGTGGCGTACCTCATCCAGGGCACTAAATGCCCGGTCCCAACAATGTGGGAGAAACCAGACAATCACTACGCTCGCCGATGAATCCACACAGGAAAACGCTAAAAGACGCAAACCCCAGATCACCTGTGGGCAGACATGTGTCACAAGCTGACCTCTCAGTCCTCAGCCTCGAAGGAAATCCTGCACGACACCTTCAAAAGACGAGTCCGGGAGCTTAAATTCATACCTTTGCTAGATGCTAAAAATCATCATCTTAATAAAGACAAAGGATTTATGGCTTATCACAACACTGGGTCACCCACTTGCCCCACTTTTGGTCCTATGACTGCCGGGGTGTTAATGGGACGCGTCTCTTTGAACGGTCTCTGCCAGCGTTAGCGCCTTATGCTAAACAATCTGTTCCACGCTCTGTTTAGCTGTGAGGTACGGAGCACCTTTCCCAGCCCTGAAGAAGGAGCTCGAAAGCTTCCCTCTCACCAATAGAAGCTGGACCAATAAAATATATTCCCTCCCCCACTTGGTCTCGCTACCATCTTTCTCATCATTTTCACCCGTGTAACTAGCTGCCTCTGCATTTCCTCTGCGTGCGTCGAGCCAGGCTGCATGGGGGAGGACAAGCCACTCTGCTCCTGTGTCCCATCTCGGTGTGACTGCAGGGCCTGCAAGGGCGTCACACCGGAGTAAGTGAGAGTTGACTCAGCTGCTCTCCCCCAGTTGCCTGCAAACTTAAGGGAGGCAGAGGCCGGACAGTGCATAATCTGCATCTGGATGCAGCCACATGCTAGTCCTGACCTCACACTCATGTGGTCTCCCGTGACCGTGCAAACAGTGCATTGTAGCTGGTTGCATTGTAAACAAGTCACTGTCTCTAGCTGTCTGGCCGCCCACAGGCTCGATCTGTCTTCTCCCAGACACACCCATCACCCGTCCAGCTAGTCTCCTACTCTGGCAATCGGGACTCAGAGAGATCCGCTACTCTGCTACGAAGAGGGATGGGTCTTCCAGAGGGCAGAGGCCGGAGGGAACCCTTGTGTGGGGGGGTAAGGGGCAGTGGAGCATGGGCTAGCAGAGAGCGGGGCATCAAGATACCTGAGGCAGCGGTAAGAGCAGGTTACTGGGAGCCAGGTTGGTTCTGTTTCTATTCCTGGCCTGCCATTTTCAGAGAGTCCCATCCCTGCTGTGCGCTCAACATCTCCAGCGGCAGCGCGGGGCGGATTGGGAGCCTTCAGGGCAAGGTGCTTTGCGATCCGGGGCGAGGAGGTGACGGAGGAACCATCGTTGTAGCCTGATGGGTGCCTGGCGGTTTGCCTTGCGCGGCAGGGCCTGCCGCCGGACACACGGGAGCTCTAAGGAGCACGTTTGCTTTGGTCTGGTGTGTTATTGACAACGGGCAAGGCCAGCTGTCCAGCCCGGCTTGCGGCGTCGGAGCTGAGCTCCGTGGGACGCTCTTCTGCTGGTGCAGGCTGGGCTACAGACTGGGTCTTCTTGCCACGGTTACTGCCTGAGTTTAGCAGAACCAAACACAGCCCCTGCTAGCGGCTGGGCTCTAGCTAGTGGCAGCAGCTCGGCTGTAGGGTCACCTGAAGCGGCTCTGAAACAACCAGCATCAGCAATCTGTCCGTCCCCGCTCCCCCGCCGCATGTTTTATGCAGCGTAACGCTGAGAAACTGGCTGCTTTCGCTGGGCAGAGCGCATTAGCAGGTCACGGACCTCTCGCTCCTCACTCTGGCTGATCCACCCAGCTGCAGCACTGCTGGGCCTCCAGTCGGTACAGGGCAGGGGTCCCAGCTACTGAGCGGCATGCCCCCCCTGCCAGGAGTGGTGCCCTGGTACGTGACGCAGCCCTAAGGCAGTGGGATGCTCTGAGGTGACATGCCACTGCACTAAAAGCTGGCAGGGGGCAGCAGTGAGCTGGGGGGAGTCCTACGCTGCCCAGACGGCAGCGGGCCAAGGTAGCGGCATCGAGCAAGTTCTTCCCTGGCTTGCAAGGCCAGCACCCACGGGAGATACAGCACAGAATCCAGCCAGGCACATGCCCTCAGCACACTGCCAGCGAGGGGAGTAGCCCTTCCCAGCCCGGGGAATTCACCTCCGCCTTCGAGCCGGAATTCTGCGCTGCCTCGTTGCTGGTTCCCAGCGCAGTCAGTTTATAGGCACACGGGCGCTGTGAGGCACAGGCTTAAACGGAGAGTGAGCCCAACCGGGCGACACCAGTGCAAAACAGAGGTGAGAGGCCGGCCCCGCAGCCCCCGCGTTTCCTGCCCCCCGGCACAAGCCAGTGGGTTATACGTGCCCTTGCCCTGGCGTAAAGATCGGCAGGGCAGGCCAATGGCTCCTAAGGCCTTGCTCGGGAACTACCCTGATACGAGGCCAAAATGGGGCTTTGTGAAAACTCCCCGTGCCAGCGTGCAGGGGGTGACCAGGAGCCGGGGTGCTGAGAGCTCAACTGCTAATTAGTCCCCAGAGGACGCAGAGGGGGTAATTATCTGATTGGGGGCTGGGTGGGATAAAGATTCAAGCAGCCCATCAGCACAGGTCTGATAAAGAAGTGCATGCATCAGAAGAAGTAGGGTTTTTTTACCCACGAAAGCTTATGCCCAAATCAATCTGTTAGTCTTTAAGGTGCCACCGGACTCCTCATTGTTTTAGTCTGATAAAGAGGCACAGGATTGGACGGATGTGCTGGGGAGGGGGGCGAGGGACAGGACCAGAGCTATCTGGGTCCAGTCACACAGCAGCCCCCCCGAGCCCTGAGGAGAGGGCCACACGCACGGTAGCTATTGTATGACTGTTGCCCAGGGACCGTGGTGACGTGGGTGCAGGGAAATGAAGGAAAAGGTCACTGAGCTCACACCCTGGGGAGTGTGGGGAAGAATGCGGGCATGCCAGCGTGCCCCGTCACCCCAAAACACCGCCCACAGCTGGGACCAGGAAAGGAAAACTGTAGCCAGGACAAAGCCAAACTGCCCTGAAACTGACTTCTGTCACTCAGCGAGAGGCCAGGTCATTGTGAAACCCAGCCCAACCCCCGCAGGCTCGGTGAGATGGAGAGAAACCAAAACCAAAACCAAGGGAATTTGCATTCCCAAGGGGGCAGCAGCAGCGGGATATTCCAGGGCTCGGCTCCCGTCTAGGCACCAAAACAAGCGCCCAAGTCTGCAAAGCGCTTGGCACCCAGCAGGTCCCGTGGGGCCGATTTTTAGCACCCACCATGCAGCGCCCCTGTGAACATCTGGTGAGGAAAAGAGCCCCAACAGCTGGTTTGTTACTTATTTCAGCCACCAGGGGTCACCAGAGTTCAACATCAGCAGAACACCTCGCCCAGGGCTGCGCGGTCTGTCTACATGGCGCCCTAAACCTGGACTCTGCCTCCCCCCCATTTCCATCCACACAGCTCAGCCTGACTTAGGTCAGCAAGCACTTGGGCCCTACAGGGGCAGGGCAGAGCCCCAGTCCCCCTGTGACGCAGGTCCAAGCTCACGCCGCAGCCCCAATTTGGAAGGGCGGTACGGGCGCGCTAGCACAGCTGGGAGACCCCGCTCCAGCCATGGTAAGCCCCGGTTGAGCGTGCAGTGTGGACGTTCCAGGGCGGCGGTGGAATCTAGTGTGCAGTGCAGACACTCCAGCCAGGGTGCAGGCCCCTCCAGCTGAGGACTCAATCCACGTGCTGTGATTGTACCAGAGCATGGGGCGGGGCGTCTGACCGATGGTCACGCCACAGCAGCCTGGGGGTGAGCAGCAAGTTGTACACTTAAACCCCCATCCCCACTGGCCGCAGGGCTCTGACGCAGCCAAGACACTCCTAGGAAACCCATGTCACCCGGCCCAAACAGTCCTTTGCCGGTCCTACCAGTCCCCCGAGATTTACATTAGTCACGGCTCCTAGAAAGGTTACACACACCCCGACAGTAACATGGCCACAACTGCATTGTTTTTAATGCAATGGATCTCAAAAGTAGTAAATGTCATTCAGCGACGGGTACCCAGGATAGCGCAGGCAATTGCCCTCCGTCACAATTATCCCCATTTTACAGCTCGGGAAACTGCGGCCTGGCAGGGGAAGGGCCTTGCCCATGGTCAGCCAGCAGGTGGAGCGAGGCATAGAAGAGAACTGAGGTCTCCTGCAGCCGAGTCCAAAAGGAGCCTAAATGAATTGTGAACCCCACTCCCATAGGATTTGAGCACCTAACTCCCTTAGGAGCGTTTGAAAACCGGGGCTGTAATGAACTGCTTCGTGCCCAGCAGGCACGTGGCACTGTTACACAAAACCTTCCACGTCCGTAGTGTGTGAGCAAGTTTTGACTCTTGGGACGACATGGGGTGGGGTAGCTGGGAAAGACGGGGGGTGGCGACTAGTGGAGCAGGGAGGGCTGGGAGCCAGGGCTCTTGGGGTCTAGTCCCAGCAATAGGAGGGGAGTGATGGCTAGTGGTTAGAGCAGGGCACTGGGAGCCAGGACTCCTGGGTTCTGTCCTGAGCTCGGGGCAGCAGAGTTGAGGGCCACGTGGCGGTGCTGAGGCTGGGATGCACAGGGCTTGCTTTCTAGCTCCACCGTCGTGTCCACGTGCCCAGCCCTATCTCCACTATCCTGTTATGAAGCCATTCAAGGGCAAGCTCCCAGCTCCACCGTCGTGTCCACGTGCCCAGCCCTATCTCCACTATCCTGTTATGAAGCCATTCAAGGGCAAGCTCCCGGCTATAAAACCCT